GAGAGGGAACACAAGCAGGGGGTGCGGAGAGGGAGAAGCAGACTTCCTGTGGAGAGGGAGCCCGATGTGGGGCTCGATCCCAGGACCCTGGGATCATGACCTGAGCCGAAGGCAGACGCTTAATGACTGAGCCACCCAGGCACCCCAAAGTCTGCAAAACTCGCCACAAAGCAGTAGATACCAAATATCCTTGCCAGATGAGAAGTTTGGGCTTCCTTGCAAGGGTAAGCCTGGCAGCCGCTCTCACCAATGTGAAGAGAACATTTGTAGTAAAATTATAACTCATTTTCTCCCTCTTAGAATTACAGTTAAAATAACATGAAAAGGCTCTAGATGTGAGAGGTAGCACGTAGGAAATTGTAAATAGCTTGTTCTCTGGAAGCATTTACAACTTTACTTTGGCTGTGCTTGGTGTAGGCTGGTGCTGGTTGCCATCGACTGATATGTGAATGGCTTGCTTTCATTCATCCCTTTGCTGTGGAGTGTAGGTTAGGAAGATGAGCTCTGGGGTCATAATAACTGGCTTTCACCGTGTACAAATTTTGTAACTTGGTCAATTTGTTTCTATCCATCGAGGCGTTTTGATGCGTTTTGATCATCAAGTCACATGGTGAAAATAACACCCTCTTGCCCATCTACTGACCCTTTGCAGCTACTTTTGCATTTATCTCTTTCCCTTCAGAGCAAACCTCCTTGGAAGAACAGTGTCCCCATTTCTCTTCTCTCTTCTGTCTTGGACTCACTCCTATCCTGTTCTCACCCTCATGGCCCCGCTGGAAACTGCCCTCTTCAAGATCCTCAATGACCTCCAACATCACTCAGCCCACTGGCCGCCTCTCTGTCCTTCCTTTCCTGACCTGGCAGCAACATTTGATGCATTTGACTACTTTGCCCCTTAGCTCCCAGGACACACTGGTTTTTAATCCTGCTTTATTGTCACTCCTTCTTCATCCATCTTGTTGGCTTCTCTTCCTTCTGATCTTAATGTTGGAGCTCTGTCCGTGGACTTCTCTATCTATACTCATCGATTAGGTGATCTCATCTATTCTCCAGGTTTAATAACCTGAGGGAGTAGTCCTGAGAACCTACCTCATGGCCTGCCCGGTTGTTCATTTGCATGTGCAATGTGCATCTCATACCGGGCGTCCTATGGTCTCTCTCCACTCACTCAATGGCAGCTCCATTCCTCTATCTGCCTGAGCCAAAACCTTGGACTCATCCTTTTCTCCCATCTTGCATACTCCCCATTTGGTCCAGTAACAAATCCTGCCAGCTCCCCTTTAAAATATATACAGGATTCAGCAGTTTTACCCCACAGCAATGGCTACCATGCTTTCTATTGCTAAAGCTTCCACCCTTGCCCCACTTCTGTATATTTTCATCACAGCAGCAGGATGACTGCTAGAACATAAATCTGATCATGTCACTGTTATGCTTGAGCTCTCCAATGGCTTTGCATTTTACTTAAAATAAAAGGGCCATGATCTCCAAGGCCTTAATCTCCAAGGCCCTACAGGATCTTCCCTGCTTTTGCCTCTGACTTCACCCTGCTTCCCCTCCAGCAACACTACTCTTCTTGGTGTTCAGTGGATGGGCTGGGCATGCCCCGACTCAGGGTCTCTGCACTTGCTACTCTTTTTGCTTGGAATAATCTTCCCTGGGCATCTGCATAGCCAGCATGCTCACGTATTTTTGGCTCTGTCCTTAAAAGTAAGTAAAGTGAGTAAATTGAAGCCTCCCTTTCTAGAATCTCTACAATTTCCAACTTCTTCTCAAGATATTTCATAGCATCCTCCGCTGCTTTGTTTTTTTTTCCTAGCATTGCCTTAGTTCAGCGTACCACAATTTTACTTACTTATTTTGCTTAGTCACCCCGACTTAGAATAAAAGCTTCATGAGGTCCTGGACTTTGTCTGTTTTGTTTACTACCGCATGTCTAGCACTTAGAGTAGTTAGAGAGTGGTCAATAAAGAGGCACTCACTTATCTGTTGAATAAATGAATGAGTTTAATGAGATGATGTGTGTTGAGTAGAATGCCTCGAGCTCCTCCTGAAAGAGGAATAGGTCAGACAGATGATCGGTAAGATTCGCTCCAGCTCTGAAAGCCCAGGGTTTCAACAGCAATCTCACATTCAATAAGGCTTTAGACTTACACTTGCAACTATTGCATTAATGATTATCTTATAATGAAGTCATATCACTTAGCATGTTAGACACTTAATTTCTGAATTCCAGTCTTTGGTGAGCCACACATTATATACAAGTTTCCACGGTACTACTGAATAGCAGGTGGGTGTTGAAATAACATTATCAAGTAGGAAAAAAATCACTCACCACTGAATCATTCTTGTGTTACCTTTATCCCTTCTGCAATTTTGTTTAATCTCTTAATCCACAGATTTCAGTCCTCCTACTTTCTTTTGAGTAACATATAGGTCAGGAGCATTCCATTGTTGGCATCCATGGAATTGTCCCTCTCCCTCCTAAAGGTACATAGCAGTAATATGGCTAATCAGGCATGGGCATTCTCTTTTTATCTCATTCATTAATTCATAAGCTCTTCACTTCGTGAAGAGTGGGTGTTGCATACGTGCTTTTCAACTGACTCAGGCATGACTGTCTTTGTCTTTTACTTCTTGTGTGTAGGCCCCTAGTTTTTTGGGCCACGAGAAGGTGATAATAAACATTAATTAGACTAGTTAATATCCTGAGCACTTTAAAGGTCTCTGTTGGTTGAATGTGATCGGAGTGAGGAACACTCACATCTTTTGAATCTTAGCCTTATATATAGTACATTGCAGAATTTTTTGGGGGGCAGCTTCTTTCTTAAGTGTTTTTGGGAATCATGCCTAATGCACAAAAATTCACAACCAGGGGCAGATGGAGAACATTAAGATACTATGGGAAACAATCCCTGAAAAAAAAAATGTACTCCTGGGAGCATCTTTGTCTATTTTCTTCTTGTATTCTTCACTGTGCATGACCCAGCCTGTGGCTCATACTGCAGCTCAGTGGTCATGGGAAGGGTGAGCATTTGACCTTGATGTTTTGTAACGGTGGAACAGTCCAAGGCACAGGTTTCAGATTTTGCACTTTGTTTTCTAGATCCATTTGTATAGTAACCCAACTAATTTTTTGTAGTCAACTTTAAAGACTTTTAACATTTTTTATTTTATAAGAAACAAGATAGTAGTGAAAAAAAGAATGCAGTATTTTGTGAATTTGCCAAAATTATTTAGTGCATTTCCTTAGGATGTTAAATTATGGTGTGTGGGCTGTCAAGTGCTAATTCTTTCCAACCTTTCTCTGAGTTACAGATTAAGATTATATTATTTACTCATTGTTTACATCATTTGTTTCCTCAACTATATTGAATACCTACTTCCCTCAAGAATAGACAGTGCATATTGAGTACTCATACATGATGCAAAATACTTAAAATTACAGAACAGGAAAGAAGCAGGCCTTAATTATAGTGATGCCTTAAGCTGATAGAAACTTTGCATGATATTTGGGTTTTCAAATAACCTTATGGGGATCTTGATCTTGATCTTCAGGAGTTTATATGCTAATAATGTTAATCTCTATCATTTTTCTTCCTTTTTCTCCATGTTCT